GTGGCCCATGAGAAACGTTTTTTCGGGCACCACCTGCCACCGCTGCCCCAGGACCTTCCCAAACACCCACAGTTTGCCTGCAGAGAAATCCAGGTGTGAGGAAGGGAGTCAGGAAGGGGACCAGGCGCTGAAATAGGCTTGTCTGATTTTTGTCTTGCAGAGCACAGAGGCTGCAGCCACAGAGACGGTGAGTGTCCCCACCCCGCGGAACTTGCCTTCGCAAAGCGAGAGTTTGCTAGTATTTCTGTCTGTCCTCTCGGATGTGGCAGACCCCAAGCGTGGGCGCCACTCGCCCTGACCGCATCAATGCACACTTGGCCTCCGCATCCCCACAGGGAGGGACGAGGACACAGAGGCTCAGAGATGCTGCCCCAGACACTATGGCTTGCCGGGCGCTGCCCAAACTCAGTCTACCCACGTCCCTTAGTAGCTGGGCGCCACGCACAGGTTTTGAAGACAAGGATGCAGACTTATCTTTTAGGGAACCACGGTTCCATCCACTGTAATTCCATCTAGTTCTTTTCGGAGGCTCGGGGGGAGGCTCCTTCTGGCCTCTTCCAGCTCCTGGGGGCTCCAGGCGTCCCTGGGCTTGTGGCCACGTCACTCCAGTCTCTGCCTCCGTCTCCACGTGGCTTCTCCTCTGCGTCTGTGTCTCCTCTGCTGTCTCTTAGGAGGACACCTGTCACTGGGTTTAGGGACCTCCTCATCCAGGATGGTCTCATCTTTAGCTCCTTAACTAATCACCTCTGCAGAGACCCTATTTCCAAATAAGGCCCCGTTGCAAGGTCGTGGGGGCCAGGACGCCCACATGAGTTTGGAGAGGGACGCGTTTCAGCCCATGCTCCTGCGCCCGCCAGCTAGGAATGGCCTTTTCTTCTTTATTGTCTTTTAAGCTACAGGTCAAAGAACACACCTCCTTTACGCTGCTCAATACTGGCGCCTACACCGTGAGAATAAGAGTGCGGGAAGTGTTTGACGAACTCCTGAGCGAGTGGAGCGCGCCCCAGCGCTTTGGTGAGTGGGCGCCTTTCGCGTCCGCTTAGTGCGAGGGTGGAAGCCGCGCGCACGCGCCGCCCCCAGGCACAGAGACAGGGAGCCCCCCCGCACGCAGCCCGGGGGGCGCCGGCTTCTCGTCCGCGCTCCAGAGTTGGGGCCTCCCTTGCCCTGCGCCCCAGTGTCTGTGACCCCAGAGAGGACCCCAAGCGTGACGGCGAGGCCGCGCCGTGCTCTTGCCCCACCCGAGGGCCCAGGTGGGAGACCAGACCGGTCCTCTCGCTGGTGCGACCGCCCCCCTCCCTGCTGGCCGTGGGGACCAGGTCAAGGCCAGGCCACCGCACACCCAAGGCCGTCCGGAGTTGCAGAGGGCATCGAAGCCCCAGGTCCTCCCTGTGTGTGGCGCTGGCCCGACAGCCAGGCCGTGGTGGACGCTGCTGTTACCACCTCCCCCGACCTGTCCTTCGGGGGCACGGGGCTCTGGGCTGGGGGCGAAGGTCACCGTGGGACGGGGATTGCACGGGGCAGGCACGGGTGGCCCCCAGCGGTGCGGCCCCCTCCCTTCTGGGCCCGCCCACCTCTGGACACCCCAAGGTGGCCGCGGACGTGAACTTTGCCCCCAGAGTGTGACCAGGAGGAGGACATGCACACCCGCTCCTTGCGGACGTCGCTGCTGGCCGCGCTGGGCGTGCTGCTGGCCCTGCTGCTGGCGCTGCTCCTCTGCAGAAGGTGAGCGACACGCCGGCCTCTCGCGCGCGCTGTTCCTGGCCTTGCGCAGCGCCGCCCGCACCCCTCAGCATTGGCGGGACGCTGTGTGGCCAGGGCAGCCCGCGACGCCCGAGGGGCCCCACTGCTGAATACCTGTAGACCCAGAAGCTACAGGCGGGGACGTGAGAGTCCCCGGGTGGAGGCAGGGCCAGAGAGGGTCGGAGGGCAGACGGCTGTCACCTCTGGTTTGGGAGGGGCACCCTGGCTAAGGTCACAGCAGGGCCACAAGGGCAGGAGCTGTCAGCGGGAGGGAGCAGGTTGTCGGTCAGGACCCGGGAGCCCAGGAGGTGCCTCATCCCTGCTGTGCGTCCTGCTTGGTCATCCGTGAAGTGGCCTCAGTGGCTGAGGAACAGTGAGACCCTCCCCCCTAAGCTCCTGACCGAAAGTGTGTGCAAGCTGACCCTAACCCTAACGGTGACCAGGTACCAGCTCACCCTCACCCTAAAACCCACAAGGTGCCAGCTCACCCTAACGAACACCTGGTACCAGCTCACCCTAACCCTAACGACCACGGGGTGCCAGCTCACCCTAACCCTAATGACCACCGGGTGCCACCTCACCCTAACCCTAACGACCACCAGGTGCCAGCTCACCCTAACCCTAATGACCACCGGGTGCCGGCTAACCTAACCCTAATGACCACCAAGTACCAACCAGCTCACCCTAACCCTAACGACCGCCAGATACCAGCTCACCCTAACCGTAACGACCACCAGGTACCGGCTCTCTGCCTCTTCGGTGCCTGCCGCGAGGCGCTCTGCGCCTTGGGTCCCCCAGGCTGCTCCCGCTGAGCCTCCCAGGAGCACCCGGGCGTGCCGGGCCTTGGGCAGCGCAATAGCGACCCCTGCCGCAGAGGTTCGCGTCTCTGGCCCAAGCGGCCTGGCTGCGGCTCTGCAGACGCCGGGTGATGCTGGGTTCGGGGCACCGGAGCGTCCTCTTCCCCTAGGTTCTCGCTGATGCAGAAAGTCTTGCCCCCCATCCCTCGCATGAAGAACCCCATCGGTGACGACTTCCCCAGCACGCTGGTACGCTGCGCTTTCCGCCACCTGGCGGTCCCGGGCACGTGGGACGCTCATCCGCTGGCCCTGGCGGGCGGCTGCGGGCTGCGGGGTTCCCGAGAGGCCGGGCTCCCCGCCTGTGCGCACGGGGCGTCGCCGGGGCCCTGCTGCCCCCGCAGGCGGGGCTGAGACCGGATGGCGTGGGCCCCTGCGGCTTTGGGGACAGTGTCGCTCCCCTGTCTGGGGCGCAGCGACTCTCCGGGACCCCCTCGCCCGCCCCGCAGATGCCCTGGGAGGCCGGCAGAGCGGACCCGGAGGACTGCGCGGTGGCGGAGGTGCAGGTCGTCAAGGAAACGTGACGCGGCCGCCGGGCTGCCCCCTCCGCAGGGCCCGCCCAGGGGACGCCGGCGCAGGGTGGGACAGTGGGACACGCCAACACCATGCGCCCAGGAACCGCCCCTGGGAACAGAGAAAACTTTGGTGCTGTGGTTTCCCAAATAAAGCGCTTTCGACACAGTGTCCCCTGCCCATCTCGGGATCTAGCCGCCTTACCCCAGAGCCACCGGGACTCAGTTTCCACCTCGGGCAATCGGCCCCGCCAAGACACGCCACTTGGCTTTGCGCCTTCCTGATGCCACGACGCGCCCCGGCTGGCGTCTGCTTTGCAGACACGAACCCTTAACCGCGCTTCTCCGTGGGCCCCCCGGTCACCTGTGTAGCCGGGACGGGTCTAACGCCCCTAAACGAGCTCTGTGCGTGCAGATGCGTCTACACCCGCAGTGGCACGTGGGCACCGAGCGCCTGCAAGCTGGAGCTGTCCGTGTGCAGCGAGGTCCCTGGGGGAGGGCTCCTGCCCCCTCCCCCGGAGACAGACACCGATCCCATGTGGCCGCCTCCTCCCTCCCGCTGGCTGGTGGGCGTGTGACCGCGGCCCGCACCGGCCACCCTAGGGAGCTGCCCGTGGTGTGGGACAGGGGGGCCCAGTGGCCCCAAGGACGACTGTGCCCATCGGAACCCCTCCCCCAATGAGCCCGTCTGCAGCCCCCGGGCAGGACGGCTTTAAGGCCTAAAACAGAGCTGGCTGGGAGCCGGGCCCCCACACCAGAACAGTGATTGTGACAAGTCTCCAGAGGGGGCGGGGCTTCCCTTAAATCAGCCCCGCCCCCGCCCGGCTGCTGCAAATTCCCTCACGAAGTTAGCTCGTTTTTAGCTTGCTGACATTCTCCGCGCGTGAAAAAACATCACCCCACGTTGCAGCTGCTCATCCTTGAACACCAACTTTGAGAACCACCCCCCCACACAATCACAAAGTTGCCGTGATTCGCAGACTGCCCTGCAAGCGCAGCGGGACTGGGTAGTGAGATTCTTAGCGACCTGTTAATTAAACGAGGCCCTCATTGCTAGGTTAAAATGGTAACAGGAGCGGGAACGTCTCGAGACTGAATCCCACAGTTTCTGCAGCTAAAGGCAGCTGAGAAAATGCAAATCCTGGGCCTCAAGTGTCAGAGCGCGGGGCGTCACATTCCTCTGCAGAGAGCAAGCGTGGGGGTTCAGGGTGGGAACCCTGTTGGTCACTTACCCGCAGCATGAGCTGCCAGGCCAAGCAGGACTCGAACTTCCTGCCCTCCAATCTGGCTTCATCAGCACAGAAACGTGGGTTTGTTTGCCAGGCAGTGCCTTGAAAAGATTGCTGATAAGAGTGTGTCTTTATAGCCGGAATGTCTGGAAGACCCAGGGGAGCAGGCTTAGGCTGGTGTCCCACGCCCACGTCACAGGAAACCTGAGCTTCAACGTTCAGCCTGGGGCTGCCTCTTGGAATAATAAGCTCCTCTCCTGCAATGAGCAGTCTGTGCAGAAACCGCTCGCAGGCAGCCGGTGGGGCTGAGCCCCACTTGGTAGCAGATCACAGATGAGACCTCGGGAATGGGGGATCCCTGTCACTTCTGGGACCTGAACTGCAAGGATATTGCTGGAACAACTGATGGGGCCCCAGGAGCTGCCAGCAGGCAGAACTTCTGGGCATTATGGTCTGAATGTTCACGCCGAAAGGTGATGGGGTTACGTAAGGTCCTCGGGCCGTGATGAGGTCAAGGGCTCTGCCCTCGTGAATGGGGGTCAGTGCCCTTACAAAGGGGACCGGACAGCTCCCCTCCCCTTACACCGTGAGGACACACCCTGACCACAGCCTCCACCGTGCCTCCAGAAATGTGATAGATGTCTGTAAGCACCCACATCTGGATATTGTCATAGCTGCACAGAGAACAGTAAACTAGTTTCCTGAAAAGACCGCTTTCTGGAGCAGGGAGGCTCAGATGGAAACACAGCCCTGCTCTGGCCCTGGCTTCAACACTGCCTCTTCCTAGCTTGGCCCTCTCTGCTCCCCCACGGTGGTTAGAAGGGGTGGCCCCGAGGACAGAGCAGTCCCTCACTGACCCCTCCTGCAGCCCCCACGCCCCAAGGCTGCTGTGTCCACGCAGGGAGGCTGTGTCCTGTTTTTATTGTTTTGCAGAATGCCCCGCGGAGAACATGATTGCAGACACTCGGCCGTGCAAAAGAGGAACTAGCTAGTGCTTAAGTACAAATGCAGACATGATTCTTTTTTAAATAAATACTTAAACACGACACGGGTCCTACAAGCATCTGGACTCTAGGTCTGAGTGGCCCACGACGGTGTCAGGGTTCCCCTCCCCCCAGCAATCAATACATGGAATCGGCTGCCAATGATCAGCGTGGTCTCGAGCCCCCTTCTGGAGCCTTCCCGGGCCCTTACAGACACGATCTGGCCGGGACAGGCGACTGGAATTTCTCGAAGGTGGGTGGTCCGTCACAGGTGAGAATTCTGCATGACTCTCCTGGTCCCCACGCCCCGTCGGGGACAGACGCCCTTAGATGACTTTCTTCAGCTCATCGTACAGGACCAGCACGAAGGCGCCCCCCATGCCCCTGAGGACGTTGGACCAGGCGCCCTTGAAGAAGGCTTTGCCCCCTTCGTCTCTGAAGATCTTCCTCCAACAGTCCACGGTCCCCTTGTACATGATGTCAGCTGCAAGGAGGGGGACAGAGTGGGACATTGCGGTTAGGTCCCTCGACACGCAAGTCCACCCGCCTCCCAGCCATCCCGCAGAAACACAAACCGAGTCAGTGATGCGAGTAACCAGTGGTTTGAAACAGGAGGAAAAAACAAAGCTCTGCTGACCAACTACCCCCGGCTTGGGGCCTCCTGCTGAGCTACTGTCAGAGGGAGCGTTGGACACACAGGACGTGAGACCCCAGCCTTGGGACCCCATCTCCACCCCCAGGCCCAGGCAGGGAGGGAGGACTGAAGGTGTGGGCTTGGTCAGGCACCCAAATGGGGTCAAAGGTTATGGGGCATTGGGATTCAGAGATTGTTGCTTGGACAATGCGAGTGTCAAAAAGAACAGAAGCCCATTCTGAAGGAAAATTCCTTTGCACGGCCGGGTTAGGGTTAGGGTCAGGTTGCTTTGCCAAAATGCTGCCTGAAACCCTTTGGGAGTGGCCTTGCGCACCCCTCCCAAGGGCTGAGGCCACGGGGTGATTCAAAGGGCTCCCAGGGATCAGGGACAGGCACCTCCTTTGCGCCCCGACTGCATCATCATCCGCCGCCGCACAGTGTCGAAGGGGTAGGAGACCACACCGGCCACGGCTGTCACGGTCTGGGCTATCATCCAGCTCACCACGATGTGCGTGTTCTTGGGGTCGGGGAGCATGCCTGCGGAGTCACCAGCCAGCGTTAGTCCCCGGTGTGCGCGCACGGCCACTTGGGAGAGGTGGCACCGAGTTCTTCCACGACCAGAACCTCCCCCTCCGCATGGCTGCTCGTGGAGATCTCAGCACAGATGACCTTTACAACGTCGAAGGTCAGGACATGCTCAGTCGCAGGGTGAGGAAGGCAAAACCACCTACCATCTACTGCAGCGGGGCCAGACGGTCCCAGAGGCTGGGGCCTGGGAGTGGCCCGTTAGAGAAGAGAATGTAAGAGCGTCGTGGAGGTGGCATGTGAGTGTTTCTGCTGCAGAATGGCGGCCCTTTACGGGCCCTGGGCTGGGGAAGGTTTACTGTGCAAACAGGTTTGTATTATGTGGCCTCCAAAATTCACTTGCCGAAAGCCCGACCCTCATACCCCAGGAGGCAGCAGCATTTGGAGTTAAAGACATAATTAAGGTAAAATGAGGTCACTAGGGTGAGCCCTGACCCAACAGCACTGGTGTCCCTATAAGGAGACGAGGACACGGGGGAGAAGACGGCGTCTACACGCCCAGGAGAGAGGCCTCAGGAGGAACCAGCCCTGAGACACCTGGATCTGGGACTTCCAGCCTCCAGGACGCGAGAGGATGACCGCCTGTCAGTTGAGCCCGGCCGCGCCCGTGGGTCCGGGCCGTGGCAGCCCGCACTCACCTTTAGCCGTGTCGTACACGCCGAAGTAGGCCGCCCGATAGATGATGATGCCCTGGACCGAGACGTTGAAGCCCTGGTACAGGCCCCGGATGCCATCGGACTTGGTGATCTTCACCAGACAGTCTCCCAGGCCCCTGAACTCCCGCTCGGTGCCCGACTTGCCCACGTCGGCGGCCAGGCGCGTCCTGGCGAAATCCAGCGGGTACACGAAGCAGAGGGAGGTGGCCCCGGCCGCCCCTCCGGAGGCCAGGTTGCCGGCGAAATACCTCCAGAACTGCGTGCGCTTGTCCACGCCCCCCAGGAAGATCTGCTTGTACTTATCCTTGAAGGCGAAGTTGAGGGCTTGCGTGGGGAAGTAGCGGATGACGTTGGCCAGGTTGCCCCTCCAGAAGGACAACACGCCCTGCTCCTTGGGGATGCGCACGATGCAGTCCACGATGCCCTTGTACTGCTTGTCGGCCGCGATCTGCTTGCTGGCATGTTGCACCTGCGGGACGCAGAGGGGCCGCTCAGACGGGGGCCCGGGTCTCCCTCCGCACAGACACCCCAACGACAGAGCACGTCGCTAGAGAACTAGCTCACGGGGTCACTGGCGTCACCCTGACTAGCTACCCCCCCGACACGCCGTCTCTTTAGCGCCAGGACTGCTTGTGACTGCCACCTGTTACATTGTAGCGATAGCAATGACAAGCAGGAAACAGTGTCACCACCGGGCATGCTACCTCCGGTAGCATCCTCAAAAGCACAACTAAACCCCATGTCGGCTCAGAACTGCAAATGGGTCGGAGAAGAGGACGACACGCACCCGACAGTCGGTGTCTCGGCATCATGCGGCAGCAGCAGGACACCCGCGGACGGGGTCGCTGGCCCCTAGGCAATGAAACCGAACTGGTTATGCAAGGCGGGGCGCGCAAGCGCGGGAATCGGCCAGGAACTGGCCGGCACGGGGTGATCTCAGCCCCCCAGGGGACCCGATCCAGGTCACGGTCCGACAGCCGCGGGCTCCGTCCACGCGCTGAGCCCCTGCGCATGCGCCTTGCGGCAGGAGAGCCAGCCTTCCCCCGGCTCCGAGCCCAGCGCGCACGCGTGGACGTCCCGCCAGGGCGCGGAGAGCGAGTGCGCGGGCGCCAGCCCGCCCCTGCGCATGCGCCGGCGCCCACGCGACGCGTCCCCGGAAGCCGGTGCCGCGCGGACAAAGCGTCCGCGGCCTTCCACTTCCGGCGCCCGCCCGTCAGCCCGCCGGTCCCGGTGCAGCCGGCTCCCCGCGCCCCGCTCTCCCGGCCCGGTCCGTCGCCCCCGGCGGCCGCGCCCGCGCCTCACCTGCAGCAGCAGTTTGACCCGTTCGATCGGGGCCACGGCCGTCTTGGAGATGGCGGCGGCGATGCCCCCGGCCAGGAAGTCCTTGGCGAAGGAGATGGCCTGTTCCGTCATGGTGGCGGAGCGGGCGGACGGCCGGAGCGCGGGCGCGGAGAGCCGAAGGAGGGCGCCGCTGGTTCAGCGCTGCCGCCGCCGGGACCGAAAGGACGGGGCGGCCACCGCGCAGCCGCTAAGGCGCCGACGCCACGCCCACGCCCCGCCCCGCGCCCCCGCGCGCAGCGCCCATTGGTCGAGTCGCCCGCGCCGCCCCGCCCACGCCTGCGCGCCGCGCCCCCGAGGGCTGCCGGGAGTAGCGCGAGCTCCGCCCCACGCCTCTGCGCGCCGCGCCCATTGGCTGCGTCCTCGGCGTCGTCCCGTCCCCGACCCGCGTCCGCGGCATGCCGGGAGCCGGGCCCCGCCCATGCGTCGTGCGGGCTGGGGGCGGGGCGGGATTGGCGGCCGCCTTGACCTTGAGAAGGTCACGCCGCCGCCCTGGCTGGAGCGGACGGACGGGCGGGGGTCTCAGCGGCGGAGAGCCCACCCCCGAGGCCCCGTCCGCGCCGAGACGCGCGTCCCGTTTCTCCTGGAGACCTCGCGCACACCCTGCCCGGATGGGCGACACGTGGTGCCCCGACCTCTGACCCTTGACCCCGGGCAGGGCCCAGGGATCCCCTAACCCTACATCGTGGCGTTCTCTCAGGGGCCTCCGCGCCCTTCCTGCGTTCCCCTGGAGAGCCCCGAGGCATGCGGGCGGCGCCCCTATCCCATAGGATAGCAATGACGCTGCCTGGCGCCGGGGACCCCCGCCGGGAGCGCGGGATTTTTTTTTTTTTTTACTGACGTTTAACACAGGCTTCGTTGACGTTTGACACTCAGGCCGGAGGGGTCGGTCGGGGCCTGGGAGCGGGGTCAGGGACAGATCCCGGCAGCTCGGACGCCTGGGGTCAACTTTCCCTCCCTCCTTCCCAACTTTCTTTTGCTCTTTTCTCTTTCTTGCTCTTTTTTTCCCTAATCTCCCTCCTTTTTTCCTTTTTTTTTTTCTTGTTTCCTCTCTTTGTCTTTTTTTTATTTCCTCTCCGTCTCTTTCTTTCTCCTTTTCTGTTTCCCCATCTCCTTTTCTTATGTTTCTCTTTTGTGGCCGTGGCCTGTGTACCCAAAAGATAAGACCCCCAGGGACGAGTTGGAGGGTGGGGCGTGAACATCCCAGGGGAGCCGGGGTCACCCTGAGCCTGGGATTTCCCTGTGTCCTTCTCTCGACCTTTCCTGCACTCTGAGGACAGGTGAGCGGGAGGCCTGGAGGCTGGGCCAGGTCCCAGAGACCGGAGTGGCTGCTCTGGGGTGGGGTCAGCTCAGAAGTCGAGGTCTGGCCTGGGGGAGACTGTAGCTGCGGGAGGCGACATTCTGGCGCATTCCTGAGGCTTCACGGCGGCAGGGCAGGAGACTGTCCCTGCAGGGCTGAGCCCGGCTCCCTCTGGAGTGGAGAGCAGAGAGGGCTGTGGGTTCTGGGCAGGGCTGGGGAGTTTGCTCTGCGGGCTGTGTCTCCCGGGAGACAAACATCTCAGATGTCTTTCATTTCACAGACGGGGCCAGTCTGGGCTGGAAGGGACCCGGGCGCTGGTTGTTGTTCGTTGCCCAGTGAGCCAGCACCCGGAGCTGCTCATTCCAGATCGACCTGGTTGGCTTCTGGTCGTGCCGTGTTCCTGTTTCTAAAGCCTGCATGGAGAAAGAGTAGCAGCTTCCCTTTGTGCAGGTGGTGGAGGTCACCACTGACTGACCCGTGTCTGTCCCCGGACACAGACAGGCTCCTGGCCATGCCTGGCCTGCCCTCCCTCGGTGACACCACGGGTTTGACACCCCCAGGCAGTGCTGTGCTGTCTGTTGGTGCTTCTCGGGGTGCTGCCCGGCCTGGCCCCCAGAAGGTGCTTGGCCAAATTCCTGGAATGAACAGATGAATGCGGCATCTACCTGTAACTGCCGACTGGGGTTCCGTTTTTCCATGGAAGGTGTCCCACTGGGCAGTTAGACTTGGGACAATCATTTGTCCTTGTGTTGTGGGGAGGGGACACAGTCCCTGTGCCCCACTAGGGTGAGACGTGGGAGGGCCTTGGGGCCACGTAGCCTGGAAAGAGGGGTCCAGGGAGACCTCACGCCTGGGAGTTGGGAACGACAGGGACAGGGACAGGAAGAGAGAGACACACACACCAGCGGGAACTCCCACTGAATCTGAATCCAGAAAGTACCTTGGTGGTGTAAAAAATGGGTGGACTTGTAAAGAAAGAAGCAGGGTTGTTTTCAGTAAGATTTCAAAATAAGATTTCAAGTTTTAGCAGATGACAGCTTAGACCGAATCACCACAGTCCTGACATTTTTGACGGGGCCTGGGAAGGGGACAGGTGACGTGAGCCAGGCGCCCTGTAAGCGTGCGAGGGGGACAGCAGGCTGCAGTTTGAAATTCCATGGGGAGAAGGTGCCAGAGAGAGACCCCTCCGTACAGAAGCCCGTCCTTGGGCGGGGTGGGCGCCTGGAAGCTGCTTCCTCCAGGACTGTGCGGGTATGCAGTCGGCGCTCAGATACCTCCGAATGGAGGAAGGGAGGAATGAATGGAGGGAGGGAGGAATGAATGAGTGAAGGGGTCGGTCACGCTGCTCTTTGACGGACTAATCCCCACTGGTTTCTAAATAATCAGAGCCCTTCAGAGACAACTGCCCGGCACAGACTTGCCCTCCTTCTCAGACTCCTCTAGAGAGAGATTTTCGCATAGCCCCCAAAATAAAAGGACCCGTTGTCTACAAATCCTATTTTCTCTTCCCACTGCTTTGATTCTTTTGGTACAGAAAGTTCCAACAGACGGGAAAGGGAGGGCGAGGACAGCACTGAACCCATACCCGTCGGACCGGACGGGTTACCTGCCCTCCCCACGCCCACCTGCGTGGGGGTCGCCCTCGGGTGGGTCCTTGGTTTCAGGGCTGAGCCAGGGTGTGGGGACCTCGGCTCAGGGGAGGCCACACTGGGGTCTGTGCAGCAGCCGGGACGAGGTGGGGGTCTGGGTTTGCAGAGGGGCCTCCCATGTCAGCCCCTTCCTGCACCCTCTGCTGACGCCTGTTCTGGCTGGGTGCAGCATTCGCACGGTGGGGGGTCCCGCATCCGCCCCCGCCCCTGAGAGCAGCTGTGGGGCGTGTCCTCTCTGGAAGCTGCCTGTGACCCCTGAGGGTGCTCTGGGTTCCTGCTGTGAATGTAGAAGCGTCCCACAGCCTCACAGGACACGCTGCAGGCAGGGACGGCACCTGCTCTCCCAGACCGGGGGCGGGGAGGCAGGAGTCTGGCTGCAGCAGCCCAAGGTGACCGGGGCGGCGTCACCCCAGCTCTGAGGCAGCAACCCAAGGTGACCAGGGCGGCGTCACCCCAGCTCTGAGGCTGGCACCAGCGGCCCTGCAGGGTGGGGCAGACGGGGAGGAGGGCAGAAGCACCCACTGCTCCCCAGGGCCACACACTGGTGTCCCCTGGCAGCTGCAGGGTCCCGCCCGAGCCCACGTGGAGGCCGGGGTGACCGAGGGGCCTCCCGGAGCCTTCTCCTTGCTGTTCCTGACAGGTGCGAGCTACAAGCACGCTCCACCTAGACACACACCCTCTTTAAAATCAAGGTTGAATTTTCCCCCTCCATCCCAGCCTCCCACGGACACACAATTGTTTTCTTGTGTGCGTGTGTTTTTTTTAAATTGGAGTCCATCCAAAATTATACACAGCCACGCACCGAATAACGGTGTTTCGGTGAACGGCAGACTACGTAGACAAAGCTGGGCCCGGCGGAGGTGGGGAACCTGCAGCCTCCAGGCCAAACGAGGCCTTCTGGACCCTCGAGTGCGGCCTTTTGACCGAATCCAAGTTTTACGGAACAAACCTTTATAGGTCACAAGTTGCCCACCCGACGGTACCATACGCAGCCTAGGTGTGTGGGGGCTGTAGGTTTGTGTAAGGTTTGTGTGTAGGTGTGTGCGGACGGGATGGGTGTGCACGTGTGTATACATGCACCTGTGCACACATACCTGTGCTTTTATGCAGAACACATAATTTACATATACATATGTAAAATAGACTATATGGCGATAATTCTTTTTTTTTTTTTTTTTTTTTTGAGACAGAGTCTCACTGTGTTGCCCAGGCTAGAGTGAGTGCCGTGGCGTCAGCCTAGCTCACAGCAACCTCCAACTCCTGGGCTCAAGCGATCCTTCTGCCTCAGCCTCCCGAGTAGCTGGGACTACAGGCATGCGCCACCATGTCCAGCTAATTTTTTCTATATATTTTTAGTTGGCCGATTAATTTCTTTGTAATTTTAGTAGAGACGGGGTCTCGCTCTTGCTCAGGCTGGTTTCGAACTCCTGAGCTCAAACAATCTGCCCGCCTCGGCCTCCCAGAGAGCTAGGATTACAGGCGTGAGCCACCGCGCCCGGCCTGCGGTAATTCTTATGTACACATATATTTGATAAGTTACGTGTGTATCTGATCCTCTTTGGTTGCTTTTAGCAGGAGAACTCATGCCCACAGGGTGCCGTCTTTGAAGGCGGGAACTTTTTCTAGTTTATAATGTACGTGTGTTAATGACAGCCAACATGTAGGTTGCTACATACTTACAACTGCCGAGCTCACGAAAGCATTTGCCCGCTCTTTGCTCTGTTGAGAAAGCATGCACACTGCTGAAATACGAAACAGACCTAAGCTCTCTAATGCACAAACTGGGAGCATTTGCAAGCATGAAAAAAAAAAAATCTCTTCCTGCCTGTTGATTCCAGCGAAGTAACATCGATTCCCCCTCAGGGTCGGAGACGCTGAAGCCCTCAGGTGTAGCCTGGGCTGGTCCAGGGCGGTTCTTCTCCGAAGCCAGGCAGGACGGGGCACCCAGGCCCCAGAGGGGAAGGAGGTGGCCGGGGTCAGGACGTGCAGAGCAGCCGCATGGAGGACAACTCGGACGCTCTTGGAGAGGGTCGAGGCAGCTACACACGCCCGGGTGTTCGCTTGCTTTATTTTTGCGAGCGACTCGTATTAACTCTGCCTCTGAAGACCCGCGTCTGGGGCCGCCCTCGGCCTGGGGACAAAGTCTGCACAGTGGCACCGTCCGGTCTCACGGGGCCACTCTAGTGCCCAAGAGCGCGGCCAGGCCGTGCCCCGCGGGGGCCACCTGCACGTCCCCAAAGCCGTGCTGCTCCAGCAGGCGCCGGTACTGGGCCAGGCTCCTCTCCCTGCCCCGGGGCCGCAGCAGTGCGTCCAGACACCGAGCCAGGCCGGGCCGCGCCTCTCTGTCCTCCGCGTCCGGGACGGCTTCCACCAGCAAGAGGCCAGCCCCTGCGGGGAGGAGACACAGAGAGAGCTGGAGCCCCGGGCAGGACCGGGGACCGCGGAGGGACAGAGGGCACTGGGGCAAGGCTAGGGCCCGCGTGGGGGACGCCGATAGATCCATGACAGATGAACAGACAGACACAGAGACCAGGCGGGGAGAGGGAGGGACAGACAGAGATTAGGTAGATCACGAAAAAAGGAGACAGAGGAGGGTCAGAGACAGTGACAGCATCAGAGGTCCCCAACCTACGGTGAGTTGCATGATTATTCCGTCCTACATTGCAATGTGATAACAACAGAAATAAAGTGCACGACAAACGCAACGTGCTCGAATCGTCCCCAAACCATCCCCCACCGCCGGTGCACGATGACAATGGTCCCTGGTGCCGCAAAGGGTGGGGACGGCTGAGATACAAGGTAGATGAGCTAGATAAGGAGGGGGAGAGAGAGAGGGGCAGACGTCCGTGACCCGCCGGCCCGGGGCTGTCCTGGTCCAACGGGCGGGGGCAGGGCTGGCGTCCGGCCGCGCCGTGGAGCGAGTTCGTGGAGCTCCGCAAATTCGCCAGGAATTCCTCCCGCAGCGCGGACCGGGCCGCCACCGGAGCACCTCCGAGCTGCCCGAGGGACGGCAGGTTCCACCTGGGAAACCGAATGGCGTCCCAGGACCGAGCCGCCTGGAGCGGGGTCAACGCCTGCCACCCACCCCGGGGACAGTTCAGGTGAGGACGGGAAAGTCCACGTGGAAAGTGTGCTCTGTATGTGTGTCTACACGTGTGTCTCTACATGAACAACACGGGCTCATCTATACGTGGATTTCTTTCTGCCTCTGCCACGCGGAGACAGTGGGACCTGCCTCCCCTTCCTCCTCCTCCTCCTCGTCCTCAGCCCACTCAACGGGACAGTGACGAGGACGGAGACCTTTATGATGACCGGCTTCCCTGCATGCAGAGGGAATGTACTTCCTCGTCCTTAGGCTTTTCTGACATTTTCTCTTCTGCAGCTCGCTTGACTGTAAGAACGTCACACGCGATACATCTCACGTGGAAAACGTGTGTCGCTCGGCTGCCTATGTCCCCGGTGAGGCCGCCGGTCAGCAGCAGGCGGTTAGCACTTCGGTTCTGGACAGTCGAAAGTTACACGCGGATTTCTGACAGAGCCGGGTCAGCGCCCCGCACGCTGAGTGGGTCAGGGGTCGACTGTGTGTGTGTGCATGTGTCTGTGTATGTGTCTGTGTGTGTGCGTGTCTGTATCTGTGTGCGTACGTGTGTTTACCTGTATAAGCATGTATGTGTGTACATGTGTACCTGTGTATGTGTCTGTGTATGTGTGCGTGTGTGCGTGTCTGTATGTGTACGTCTGTGTGTACGTGTGTGTACGTGTGTGCGTGTGTATGTGTGCGTGTGTATGTGTATGTGTGTGTGTCTGTGTGTGTACGTGTGTGCATCTGTATGTGTGTACGTGTGTGTACATGTGTGCGTGTCTGTATGTGTATGTGTACGTGTATATGTGTGCGTGTGTGTATGTATGTGTGTACGTGTCTGTGTCTGTGTATTGTGTGTGTCTGTGTGTGTGCGTGTCTGTATGTGTATGTGCGTGTGTCTGTGTATGTGTGCGTGTGTCTGTGTCTGTATGTGTATTGTGTCTGTGTGTGTGTCTGTATGTGTGTATGTGTATTGTGTGTGTGTGCGTGTCTGTGTATGTATATGTGTGTGTATGTGCATGTGTCTGTGTGTGTGTATGTGTATTGTGTGTGTGCGTCTGTGTGTCTGTGCATGTATGTGTATTGTGTGTGTGTGCGTGTGTGTGTATGTATGTATATGTGTATTGTGTGTGCGTGTCTGTGTGTGTGTCTGTGTGTCTGTGTGTATGCGTGTATGTCTGTGTGCGTGTGTATGTGTATGTGTGTATATGTGTATGTGTACGTATGTGTGCGTGTGTCTGTGTGTGTGTGTGTGTGTGTATGTGTGTGTGTGTATGTGTGTGTTTTCCCCCAAAAGGGATGTGCTTTGCCAGACGGCACTTAGGTGTCAGCGGGCTCCGGCCACAGCCTGGGGCGGCTGTTTCAGGAAGATCCGGAAACCTCAGAATCCAGCAGTGGCCCCGGGTCTGGGTTGCTTTTTTGGCAGAATGAGACAAGGCAGGTGATAGATCCTGACAGACGCTGGGTAGATGGACAGATGCATGGACAGATGACAGATGGGTGATCCATGGCTGATAGGAGATGGGTGAGTACAGACAGACAGACACAGAGCCCCGGTGGGGAGAGGGAGGGAGGAAAGGGAGGAGGGAAGAAAGGAGGGAAGGAAGGAAGGAGGGAAGGAGGAAAGGAAACAGGGAAGGAGGCAGGGAAGGAGTCAGGGAGGGAAGGAAGGAAGAAAGGAGCGAAGCAGGGAGGAAGGAGGGAAGGAAGGAGGAAGGAGGGAGGGAGGGAAGGAAGGAGGGAGGGAGGGACAGAAACAGACCCCAGGACCCCTTGAGCCCACAATCACACGGGTGACGGAGAACCCTCGTCGCAGGAAGAAAATAACTTTGGGAGCGAGACAGACGGGCAGGAAGTGGTTTATATTTGCCTCTCCCTTCTGTTCGCATTCAGCCGCGCGATCCCAGAGGAGCGGGCCGCGGGGAACGTGAGGTGCCAGCAGTTTCCCACGCAGGGTCTCACTTCCGTTCTGGGCACGGACATAAACACGCCATTCACAAAACCAGGATCGCAGCGCGTGCTCCGTTCATTTGTACGTTTTTCCAAGTAACGTGCGCGTAGCGCTAACTCGAGGGGCTCCGAAGGCTCGTATGAAAAAGCAGACTCTCGCGTCTGCAGAGCGACTCCGCTGTGGGCTGCGAACGGGTCCGCCGTCGCCGTGGTGTGACTGCTCCCGGCTCCCCACGCACCCGTGTGTCTGTGGCCAGTTTCCGGTGAGCCGTGGCTTTGGCCTCCTGGTCTCCGCTCCCCGACGTGCGGGCTCCTCTCTGCACCCCGGCTTGCCGGAATCCTGGCCTTGCGCCCGCCGCGGGCGGAATTCAGGACCTCCGTGCTCCAGCTCTGCCCTCGGGGCTCAAGGCAGCGACCCCTAAGGGGCTGGTTTTCCACCCGACGCCCCCTTGACCGTATCTTCCGATCCTTCTATTCCTTATTCCCGACTTCCTTTCCAGACCTTTTTTCTCCCTTTGCTTTCTCCGTCCGAGTTAAGCTTCAGTTCCCGTCTGCGCCGTTCGGCCCAAAGGCCTCTGTCCGTCTTGTTCCTCCCTCACGTGACGCCTGTGTCCTGGACGGACGGACGGGCGGACTCCGCCTTCCGCTCTGGCCGGACATGTCCCTTCCTGTTGTCACCAACTGTCACTTTTTCCCAGGCTTCTCTCCGCCGGACCTTGGCCTGGGCCAGCTCCTCGGAGACTGTTCCGCACGTCTCGTGATTCCTGGACGTCGCAGCCGTGGGAACTTGGACTTAGCGGCTGCTGGCGTCTCTCTGAGCTGGGAGCCCCACCCATGGCGGCAGGGGGACGGCGGATTTTGTCCTGAGCCGGGAGCCTGCGGTGACCCCGGAGCCACCTTGCCCGGTTCCATCATGGGATGGGACCCATGGGCAAGGGTTGGCGCCCGGCAGACTTTATGTGACCACGTGGCTGGACCACGGTGCCCTGAGACGAGGTCGGCCGTTAACCTGAGAAGGTTCCTTTTGGGTGACATGAAGGTACCAGTCAGTAGACTTGGCGTAAGGCGGTTCCCTGTCCAGGTGAGGTGGCCTCGTGCCATCAGGGCACGGAAGGCCGTGACAGACACTGGCCATGGGGTCCTCCCTCCTGCCCCTCTCGTGTCCTCCTTGCTCTATCCCCGCCAGGTGACACTTTCCTGTCCTTCACCTCTTGCTGAGTGTCTGTGGCCGGGCCGCGTCGGCCTGGGCGTGTGCGGGGGACCGGCCGGGGCGCCTGTTTGGGTTCCTCAGGCAGCAGGTCTGGGTGGCCGGGACATTCCACGGGCGAAGCCACGCGGAGACCCAAGCGCAGAATGCTGTCGCCGGCATCCTTAACTCAAGGGCCGGCCGGGCCGAACGACTCTGTTTTTAAAATTCACTCTCTCCCTTTTGTTTCATCGAAAACTCTCCTGATGGATTTTTTTTTTAAAAAAAGGAAAGAAGAAAGGGAGAAGAGGGGCGTGTTCTCACCTGGCCCGGCGCCGTCTGAGACCCGGCGGAGCAGCGCGTGGACGCGGTCGTCCGGCCAGCCGTGCAGGACCCCGGACAGGACGTACAGCTCGGCCCTGGGCAGGCTGTCCCTGAAGAAGTCACCTGGTGGGAAACAAAAAAGGACAGAGCTGTCAGGAGCAGCAGCCGAGGTCCTCGCCTGACAGAACGGGGCCGAGATCTACGTTTGGAAGGCAGACGAGGGACACAGGACGGAGGCAGGAGATGCGGGAACAGCCCCTGGCCAGGTGGGCAGGGCCGTGACAGGTGGGCTCCTTCCTTCTGTAGGGGACCCCGGCCGGCACCACTGACAGCACCTGCTTCCAGCTCTTTGTAAGGAAGCAACAGCCAGATGGGGTCCACTGGGACCCCCAGATTCAGCCAGCGTCGGAGACATGCCTCGGGGTGGGGTCTGTTCGCACCACCTTCTAGAACTGCTGAAATAAAATGATGCCCTGCTGTCGTGGGGGGACTGTGTCCCCCCAAAAAGATGCATTCAGGTGTGAGCCCTTGTACCTGTGAAGGGGGCGTCATTTGGAAACACGGTCTTTGCAGACGTAATTAGTGAAGGATCTCGAGATGAGACCACTCTGAATTAGGGAGGTCCCTAAACCCAGTGACAGGTGTCCTCCTAAGAGACAGCAGAGGAGACACAGACGCAGAGGAGAAGCCACGTGGAGACGGAGGCAGAGACTGGAGCGACGCGGCCACAAGCCCAGGGACGCCTGGAGCCCCCAGAAATTGCTGTGAAGCCCCGGTCTGTGGAGTTTTGTCGGGGCTGCCCCGGGAAACCGAGGCAAGCACTGAGCGCTCGTCGGCACCAGGGGGCGCAGAAACGTTTGCGCGTGTGTTTTCCTGTCCCTGCCTTGTGCAGCAGAGGGTCGGATGCGGCTCAGTAACGAACCCAAAGCGGAAAGAGACAGGAAAGCGTGAGATGGGGAGAGGAAAGTGGGGATGGGGGAGCGCACGGCGCCAGGTCCCCGGGCTGAAGCTGCTCGCGTGCGCCCCGACGGCGGCAGGGGGCGTCTGCGTTTTCAGGCTCTGTTGTTTGTGTTTCCGCACGTCTGGCAAAGCGAAGCCCCGCTGGTCCTCGTGCGCCTGGACTGGGGGCGTGCGGGGGGCGGCCTTTTCATTTCAACTAGGGAGGCGCTCAGAAGGCTGGGGGGCACGGGGACCCCGCACATCTGGGCCATGGCGGAAGGCGCCAACTGCGGGAGGTCAGGTGCGTCCTGTCCGTCCATGCTGGCATCGACGGCTGACGCCAGGAAGTTCTTCCTCGAGTCTAACCCGATGCCTCCTTGTTACAGCTCTTGAGTCACTTCCTTTTGTGGCCTTGGCCAGTCACAGATGGCACGGACACGGACCTTGGCCGTCTGCCTTCCCCACGGCCCTGTAGACTCAGTACTTGCAGTGCTCACACACACAGACAAGCACATGCAGACGTGCATGTGACATGCATGCCTACACACTTACACACGGAGACACACACACATGCATACCCACAGATATAGAGACACATGCAAACACACCAGACACACACATGCATGCAAAGATATGTGCACATGTAGGAATATACACAGACACGCACATGACATGCATACCTACCCAGATACACACAGAGACACACAGACATGCACACGCAGACACACAGACACGCACACGCAGACATGCATGTGACATGCATACCTACACACATACACAGACACGCACACATGCATACCCACACAGATATAGAGACACACACAAACACACCAGACACACACACATTCATGCAGAGATGTGCACACGTAGGAATACACACAGACACGCACATGCAGAGACACAGACACGCACATGACATGCATACCTGCACAGATACACACACAGAGACACAGACACACAAACACGCACATGCGTACCCACACAGATATAGAGACATACACATGGAGACACACACACATTCATGCAGATATGTGCACACGTAGGAACATACACAGGCATGCAGACACACACACACACACATGACATGCATACCTACACAGGTACACACAGAGACACACACAGACATGCACACGCATACCCACACAGATACAGAGACACACACAAACACACCAGACACACACATGCATGCAGAGATATGTGCACACGTAGGAACATACACAGGCAGAGACACAGACACACACGACATGCACACACAGACACGCACACACATATCCACACAGATACACCATGCAGACACACACACAAGCACATCACACGCATGTATGCAGGGACATGTGCACACACGGACACACATATACACATGCACACACACACAGGGCCACGCGCCCTGCACACACAAACGAGCCGGGCACACGTTGCCAC